GAATACTTGAATATGAAAAATAGGCAGAAGACAATCTGGCGTGGGTTGAATGTGCAAAATAGACGGAAGATAATTTGGTGTGGGTTTAAATAATTGAAATTTGAAATAAAAAATTGAAGAAGAGTATTTTTCAGTGCTAGTAGTCTCCAGCAAGTTGTCCAATTTAGCAAATTAGCATGTAGCTGTTAATGAAAGTATCTATAGTAATATTTGGATGTCACAGGAAACTTTAAGAAAAATATTGTTATTTTTTATATTGGATTTTTTGGTTATGAAATCTAATAGCTACCAAGTTTTCTAAGCCTTTTTAAGCCTAACATTTGTTTTGATGTAGATACGTACTGTTGTGACAAGAACTGGTTTTGGAATTCTAATAGCGCCTGACTTGCGTATATTGAATTAGGTACACTTTAATTTTTTTATAAAAATAATGTTCTTTTGAAAGAAACCTTCGCTTTGATGCTTTTGACTTGATAATTATGAGAAGCCTTCTCTTTGTTGTCAAGCATTTCTATATAGGTTTCTTTTATTAGACCACATTCCGATAATTTTAGATTTATGGTTTTTTCCAGGCCACTGGCAATCTTCGATCAGATTATTTTTTGTTTTTGCTTTACAAATGATGTGTTCTCATTTTTAGAATTCCAAAGTTAATTATATTTCTTTGTAATTAGAATTTCGCGCAAGCCCATGTTACAGGTAGAAAATTATATTTCTTTGTAATCAAAACCGGTAGAAAATTTGGTGTGCCAAAAACTAAACCATAATTAAACTGAAAACTCGTAGATGTACTAATTCAAATTTAAAATTTCTTTTTTATTGTTGAAATAGTTTTGACTCATGTTTAACCTCTTAGCAGGGTGCATGAAAACGTTAACACAATGGAGATGGAAATGATAGGTTAATTAGTTTTCTAGCTTATTCATTTCCCTTGCTAAAATATGGTAGTGTGGTGAGGATCTTAACATCCAAGAGCTTCTGATTATAAATTTTTCAAACTTGAATAATTGATAGATTATTTGCTTTAAGGAGTGTGTTTATATATATATATATATATATAACAAAACAAAACAAGGAATGCCAAGACATGAAAGTTAAAGCTTATTTTGATGGATTTTAGTGCCCGATGTATTTTTTCATGTATGCTAAATAGATCATATTTTTACTATGGATGCTAAAATGATAACGTCTTTAAGAAATGAGTTCAGAAATGAAGTTGGATCTTTGAGAATAAGGCATTCAAGAAAATCTTGTTGAGTGTGAGCTTGACCACTCATAAAAATGAAAAGACAAGAAAAAACAAGAATGACAATATCAAAAAGATTCTTTATTTATAGCAATACAGGCCCACATGTATATAGAAAAAAAAATCCATATAAATAATTTTTTTAAAAAAAAACTTAAAAATCAAAACTAAAATTTTGATTTTAATCTAAAAAACCAAACTTCAATTCGAATTGAGTTTGGTTTATGTATTTGATTATTCTATTAATAGAAAATTAAATCAAAATAGTAGAAAATTAATAAAACTCAAAAAACCAAAGGATCACTCCTGTTCAAAATCAATACAACCTGAAAATGTAAACGGCTAAAAAAAATAACAATAAATGAACGTCAATTAAATGTTGATCAGAAAACCCAGAACTTTTTAATCCAAAATTAAATAGAGAATGCCATGGTGACCACTTATTAAGATCCCATATATTATTATTCCAAAAAAATAAAAAACTGGGTGAAAGCGAAACAACAAGGGTAGCAACAAATTAAGAAAGCAAGTACGAGTATAGGACGGCGTTGTTAGTCTGTCCGGGTTGGATAGGATAGGGAATCCATTGGCAAAAAGTAGTCGGTCAAGATTGACCAAAGAGGTCCTTATCATCTGTACGACGTTACAGAGATCTGACGGTCTCTTGAGCCGCTTGTTGTGTCTAATCAGTAATCACACTACTTGTGATCATTGGCCCCATCCCACTCGATCGATCGTATCCCTTCTCTTTCGTACTCTGCCGCTGCAATCTCTCTTCCCGCTGCTCACTTTTTTGCGTTCCTCTCTTTTTGCAGGTGAAGCAAAAATAAAATATTATTCGTGTTTTATTCGAATCCTAGCTGTTAGTCCTTGGTCATATCCATAAGTATAAATTCTCATAAAAAGAATGAGTATATGTTGAGTTTATTCGAAGAAGGAGGGTAAATTTTGTAAATGAATTTTAATTAATTAGCGTAATAAGCATTGATACAAATATATATATATATATATATATATATATATATATATATATATATATATATATACAAGTTCTTGTCCACATTTCATCTAACTCGTTTTCCGATTCTTATTTAATTCATTGATGGCCTTACATTCAATATGAGGATGGTCTTAAGATAAATTTGTTTCACCAGCAACTAGTTTCATGCTGATAATTTGTTTATGGCAATTTAATTTTTAACACACTTGATGTACATATTAGGATTTAATGTGTTTCTGCACAGGCAGAAATTCGCGCGCCAAATGCAAGTGTAATGCAAAATGTTAATTAGGATAGAATCTAATTAACTTTGTATGAGTGCGACGGATGTATTCATCTTTTTTCGTAAAATACATTTTGAAAATTCTTTTTGGGCAATTAAAGTTATGATGATTAATCAAACAATTTTTCAAAACTAATTAATAAAGCCTCCTAATTATCATGTTTAGTACTTTGGTGAGTTAGGAGCTGCGGAGGAGGATGCACAGGTGTGGGCAGGTAGCGGCTCATGTATGACGATTATTCACACGAGAGATCATTATCTAACCTTTGTCCTTCTTCCTTGCTTCAAGGTATTTGGATTCTTGGATCTGTGTTTTGGGCTTTTATCTATTTTATTATCTATATTTAAGTCAATATATCCTCTCTTTTTTCTACCTCTTTAAAGATTGTATTTGCATGTGTTGAGCTTTTTTGGCAACATGATTGAATTCGTTACTTGATTGAAAAAAAATCTGAAAACTGAAATGATGTGATAATATTAGTAAAATTTTTGGCAGCAAAAGATATATACACTATGTAACACTTTTCTTCAGAAACAATATTGGCAAGTATGAGTGAAAGAGCATGCGTATATTGCTAAACTTTGAAGAATATTGTCGACCCCACAACCAAAAATATGGACAGAATTGTACGGACATATATACAACTGTAATTTCTGGGTCTCGTGAGTGCCAAAGTTAGGTAATCCAGGAAGATCGTGATCCTCTCCCGAAACCTATGGCTAGGGTTATAGTGTTTAGAGCCGCAATGATGATCTGATGTGGGCTGGTACGTATATATGGTACGTACAAACACGGGATCTGTTCCATTGATTGAACACACATATAAATATATATATATATATATAACAGCCTCTGCATGAGGCTTCAGCTTTTACTCATAGACCTCTACTTCCTCAAGCTGACAGAGAAAAGAGCAACAAGCCAACAAGGACTTCACGTGCTAAACTGATCACTCGGGGTTTTTCTCTAACTAAATTACAATTACTCATTTGGCGATTTGGTAAACAGTTATACGCTAAGGTGTTTTTTTTTTAGATTGGAATTCATGAAAAAATTTAGATTCTTTCATGAATAATTATCAATCTATACCAGTTTTTTTTTTAAAAAAAAATTACCAAATAGACCGTAAAACCATATATATACAAGAAGCAAGCTGCAACAAAGGACACCTGTAGCGTTCATTTTACGGGTCAAAGAATCGCTAATAAAGATGGTACTAAACACCTAAATCAAATCAGATGATGATATGTTAGATAGAAATTCCATGTGGAGGATCTATTGCCTTTGATGATTGGATTGCAATGGGGTAATCCTCTCCTCCAGCAGCTCAAATTTGATTTAGTTTTTCAAGTACAATTTAAATTAGAGATATATGATGTAGTCTTCAGCTAACAATCACAATAGAGTAAAAAGAAAATCAAATAGCAATAACAAAGCAGGTAGTTTTTTTTTTTTTCAATGGACAATGTTGGTAGTTAATTACCCTGTGTATAATTGGTAACCAAAAAAAGAAGCAGAATAACCAGCAAAACAAGAATTAAACAGAGCGAACCCAAGAGAAAGTTTCAAGGACAATAAAGCAAACTAGAACAAAGCATCAATTGCTAGAGATTAAGCACACAACATGAGCACTTTCTCCAAATTCCGACCCCCTAACACAACACACCGTTTTTCTTTAAGAAAAAAGCGAACTCGCTATTTATAATTAAGGTCCTAATTTACATGTAAAGGTACGAACCAAGTAGACTAAAACAGGTACATAACCTGTTCTGTCGTATAAGAAAAACTGTTGTGATCGATGAAAGACAGCGATCTACATCTTAACTTACTCAAGGTCTCGAACTTCAAAGAAAGATCGATTTTGCACGACAATATCATACATATTGTGAGATTTGAAGCTATCAAAATTATTAGGAAGAGAAATGAGATGGGCTGAGTTGTCAGACTTGTGAAATTGGAGAAGGTTGGGCTGGTTGGAGTTATAGTAGCGAGTCCAGCCTAGTTCAGCTAGTCGCTGCTCAAGCTCGGTGTAGGAACGGATCACATGGTTTGCTGGGAGATAGACAAGGACCCTAGGTCTAGCCCCAGGAGCTGTGGCTGTGCCTGGATAGGGTGGCTCTTTCTGCTCGAAGGATTCTCTTGTAGGGTTCGGTATCAAGCGAGCCACTCCATTCTTGTCAAATATCCAAACACCAGACATTGTGAGCTTAGGGAGGAGAGAGAGAGAGAGAGAGATGGTTAGAAACGTAGAGTTCGTGCAAGATGTGTGCATGTTTCGTGTGTGATGTTTATACATATACTGATAAGTTGGGGAGGAAAGCATGTGACTAATGTGATTTAGTTTCTTTCCAAGACGCCCATGATAAACTTAGATTAGTTGGATGTCGAAAATGAGAAAAATTAAAATATTAGTAAGAATCATCGAAAGAGAGAGAGAGAGAGAGAGACTTAGACCTAGCGGAAGGGTAAAATGAATACTACGATTCTACAATTCCTACAAAGAATTGGTCCAGATTTGTATCCTCTAATTAATACTAACAAATTAACCGTATCTAGGCATGTTTTACGCAAACAAATTTAAAATACTTAATGAATAATGAATAATAGTTATTTTATAATCCTACTTGAAGGAGAGACAAAAATAAATAAATAAATCACATCTATATCCAAATAAATATTTATATATAAGTTCAATTATAATTATTATTTAATTTTCTATCTCTTAATGCTATCTTCTCTTTGTCTATTTTTTTCTTTTCGGTTCAATAAATGGTATTAATTACTTTTGAAATAACATAAAACTTATCAGTTTTACACAGCCTCACAAATCAAAATTAAGTAATGATATTATTGAGTTTGACTTAAAATGCCAATTAAAGGAAAGCAAAAATTTAATAGAAGGGCTACTAATTTTTTTAAGATTTATTTTCTGTACTTTATTCAATCAAATTATTTGGGCACTGCTGTGCATCATAATGAAAAAAAAAATTAAATAAATAAATAGAGGTCGCTATTGATGAAAATACGTTGCTTTTTTAAGAGCACTTTAATTAAACAATGAGAAATCATGATGGATCAATTATAAATCCAAGGCAATATATATATATATATATATATATATGTATATATATATAAGGGCTATCGAAGTCCCAAGAATTGCCAATAAATCTACAAATCAGGCAAGAACATACAGACATTAATAGCTAGGTACGCATACGTACTAAAATAATAAGGTTTTTTTAAAGTAATTTAATTTCCTTTCTTTAGTTCTCCCCAACCACCCCCCCCCCCCCCCGCCTCCGGCGCGTCTGTGGACGGAGGCAATCGGTTTGGGGAGGGAAATTTGCTGTTTTGGGAGAAAATCTTGTCACGACTCACTAGCACAGGGGTGTGGCTTTCTCGACGCCCCGAATGATGTTTTTTCAATCATGCATAGTTGTGGGGAAGGAGAGGCGGATTCCCTTCTCTCATTCATTATGCTAGTTTAATCAATATTTCTACTTAACCGTTATGCTTAATTTCCAGCCAGCTAGCAAATTTAACGAATGCCACATAGTAGTTCTTTTTTTTTTTTGGCTTTTTTAATTCAATTATTTGGAAATAACAGACGTGCAGTTGTACCTCTAGTTACATTACTGCACAATACAATGACTTATGTTAAATTTTTATCTAGAAATTTGAGGATTTTTTTTCTTTTTGTTAAAAACTAAAACACTCGGGGTATTATAAGTGAATATTGTATAATCTTTTTCTTATGATTCTTTTAAAAATAAAGGTTTAGCGAACCTCGTTACACTAAGGGGTCATTAGATTTTTATTTTTTCACAAAATTTTAAAATATGAAAGAAATTTTTTTTCAAGTTAATTTTGTAATCATAATATATTTGAAGATTTGCAATATTGGTATGAATTTTTTTTCTTCAATAAGTTGTGTTCAATTTGAGATTAAAAATTAAGGATTAATGGTGTTTTGGGAAGGGATAAAAATGAAAGAAAGTTGAGAGAGAAAAACACACATTTCAAGATATTTTTTTGATGAGTAGTCGATAGAATCAACCAATGAATTTAGGACACGTGGTTGATGATGGTGATGGCAATTAGTAAGCGTTTATAGATTGTGATCGAAAGTCCTTTTTGCATCATATATTTGCAAAACAAGTCTTTCTAGTTAAGTGAGAGAATCCTTCGACACTCGAGTTAGTGGTAAAAAAATAACAAATTGGCCTATAAATGCTTTTTTATACTAGTTTGTATGTAATTTAGCACAAAATGGGAGACTTATAGGATGAGCCTATATAGAGAGTGATTATAGTGTACTGTTTTGAGTTCTTTTAGGTCGTGTTCGTGAGATCCGATTTGCTTTCTTTGTGAGGAATCTTATCTTTATATAAACAATGGTAGGAGCTACTTGTATGGTAGAAAAGACAAGAGTGTCATTTTCTCTTATGATTAGTGAAAGGACGATAAGTGTTAGTGTTTTGTCATTATTGTATTTGATTTTACGACTACGGTAGTGCGATCATGATAAGTGGTGATCCGATCGATGTCATCATTAGAGATTTCTCGTTAAATGCTTTGTCTCCGAATGAAAAATATCTTTTCCGAGTCGGGGCACTTGAGGGTATAAGGATTCTTAAATCCTTCCTAGGCGATGACTCGTCTAATATACGGGGCAAACCCATTATGAGGATTTGGGGTCCATGATTGACTTATATTTTTTTACGAGATACGTAAGAAGGTTGGTACGTATGGTAAATATGTCATATGCACTTATTGATGAGATTAGAGAGGTGGTTAGACTGTGCCTTCTTTAAATGCATGCTCTTTAGAATTTCTTTGATAGTCATCCTTATTCACTTTTTACCTTCGAGCCCTTCTCCTAATGTTCTTGATGTCTTCCACGAGGGAGGTCTATAATTATTGATATGTCTTTTATTGATGCCTATTATTTTTCCTAGGTATATCAGTCATCTCCCCTAAGTCTTTATGATTTTTTAAGGATAAAGGCTCGTTTTCATTTATCATCGTTCTTTTTTCAATTGGATGGTGGTAGAGTTATTCTTAGCTTGTTTGTTTGGATAATGAGAGGTTTGCCGGTTGGTGTTTGGAGGAGTGCAAAGACACAACTTATTGATGATTTTTCAAATTTTAAAAACAAGGTGCCTATCATTAGCGATGCCAGTTTTTTCTTTTGGGTAATTTGTTATCTCTTTCTTGTATAGTTTTAGTAGTGAATTAGGTCTAGCATTGATAAAATTGGCTTTAGTTCTAAATCTTTCTTTAGTAATAGACTCGAACTTTCTAGTAGCATAAAAGCTTTTGATGTTTTCTTAGGGGTGGTCGGACTACTCATGGTCCCTTAAAAGTGATTACTATTTTAGTAAGATGATTGTTGACGGAGTTATTAGTGTATGAGATAGATTAGGCTCGAATACGAGGCTAGGGCTATTTTTTTTCCTAATGATAGGGTTAGTGTGTAGCCTTTCGAATATAAGAAGGGGTATCGTGATATCTATATCTTGGTGTGTATGATTTATTTTAGATATTCATTCCTTCTTTTTGGTTTTTTAGCCTTATGTTTTGACACTATGGTTTACGTTTCAACCATTTTTATCCCAATTAATGGGCTATGCTTAGGCTTTTCTTGACTATATGAGCTCTACTTGGGTCAACCTTACTTTGAAACTCTTTAAGATTTGTTTCATTATGACTGAGAGCAACGAGAGGCAAATAAAGAGACTCTTGGTTCTATACTTTGCCAAAGTAGAGGGTAAATCCTCTAGGGAACTTATTGATTGGAAAAAAAGATTGCGTTAATGATTGGCAAGATGAGTGGTTCATTATGCGTTATACTAAACTTTCAGCACAAGACAAGTTCGTGGATATGTAGGGCCTTCTTGCTCTTTAGTTGGCTCCCATTGGTAGTTATAATTACCCTATCACATACATTTTAGTACGGAAAAAGATCTTTAATATTTTAAAGAGAGATAATGAACTTTTGACAAATAGAACAATCAAGGGCTCAAACCACTAGAGGTGTTTAGACTTTGTTTTAGCTTTTATTTTAGCTAACCTTTACTTATTATCTTTGTTTAATTTTGTTTTTGTTATATACATTCTTTTTGAAATGCTTATTGAAGGTGTTCTCATAGAAATGAATGACCTAACTATTTTAGAGGAGATGAGGAGAAAAAATAACCCATGTTTTCCTAAGGGCCTTCTTTTGGGTTAAGAAAGAAAAGAAGGGTCATGCCATCATCTTCTCCTACTCTTATAGTGAGTGAGGTTGTTGTTTAAAGAAGGGATGAATTGGAGATTCCTTCTTTGAAGAAAAAGGCTACCTCCGTCAAGTAGAAGGAAGTCATTTTTTCTAGCAAATCTCTCTTTTTTTTTTTTTTAGATTTAAAGTGGGAAGAAGGTTGTTAAAGGTTGTCTAAAATTTGGTTTTTCGCATGGGGTCACCATTTCTCTTTTTTAAGAAAAAAAGAGCTATAAAATGATCTATTTGGTGATGATTATACTGTTCAAGGTCTTAATGGGATAAAGGCATCTAAGCTTTTTAGGTGTTTAACTTATGTATCAAAACATATAAGGCATTGGGAGGAGATTAGGAATGACAATAGTAGGGTAGGGTAGGGCAAGGATGGGGATGGCCCCGAAAACTCGCCCTATCCTCGCCTCGTCCCTACGTGGGGTAGGGGATGGAGATCTCCGTGGGGCACCTAGGATCCCCATTGGGCAACCGGGATCCCTCGAGGCATTGATGCCCCCTTTAATTTTTTAAGTCTATCTCGCTTCATTTTACCTCATATTATCTTGTATTAAATTTTAAACTATAATAAAAAGATAATAGTACGTATAAAAATATAATTAAAAAAGATAATAATTTAACATCATATTCAACTATAAATTTACAAAAAAAACTTATAATATATTAAATTGTATTCAATCGAATAAGTAGTATACTTAATTAAGTTGATGGAGTATCACAAATATAATTAAAAAACATAAATTCTTACTTGTCTTTATTGCTTAGAGATTATCAAAACTCACTCATTATAGTGGAGACTAGTTTGTTTATATATATGTTAGGTATAATTATAATTTCCAAAGAATAAGGTCTGGATGGGTAAGGTAAGCAAATACCATCCCCGCCCCATCCTTATTCAAAATTAATGCGAGACAGTGCGGGGAAAATTGCCATCCACTAGAGGAGATCTCCCTCGATAATCACATGAATATAGTTATTATACCAATTATAAAGGTAAGGCATTAAAAAAAAACTTATCTTTTTTACTTTTTTAACAATAAATAGCTTATCTTTTTATTTATTTACATTTTTTTCTTTTTCTTAGGCATTAGAACTTCATATCTATGTTTATAATAGGTCTCGAAGCAAAGGAAAATGAGTCAAAAAGGTTGTGTTGCTTAAGCGATCAATTATAGAGAAACTTGGATGATCGTTCATTAGATGTAGGTGCTAGTTGTTTTGAGTTAGAAGCCAAACTAGAGGATTTGAAAGCCTTACTAAGAGAGGCATTGAAAATGAGACAAATTACTCTAGACAATCTAGAGTGGTCATTAGAGATGAAGAAAAGAAAAGTAATGAAATTGAAAATGACCTTAAGATCTTAGGATAAGATCATGCACGATTTGGATAGGGTTTTGGATGTAAGAGAGATGGAGAATAAGAATCTAAACACCTCATTATCCCTTAATACTATAGAATTAAAAGACTCTAAAGTAAAGTTATTGCATCACAAGGCAATTGGGGATCACCTAAAAGATTTTTCTATTATGTGTGAGGGAATTGTTGATTTACAAAATGCCTTCTTAGATTATATGGTGGATACCTTGGTTGATGTCCACTTCTTCAACAAGGCAAAAGACATCTACGTGGACTTTTTAAAAAAAATTAAAGAAAATGTTGTTCTTGATTTTGAATTACCAAGTATTCTACTCGTTATCACTAAATGAGTGTACCTTAATTCTAAGCCTAAAGTAAAGGAAGTCTTTTTTTCTTCAAGTGTGCCTTTATATGAAGTTCCTCCGACTTTAAAGCCCTCAAATCTTAATGGTGGTATTTTTGATGTCTAGGGAGTTTAAACAAGCTCTTAGAGCACCTTGAAGACTTGTAGTATTGCCTTCTTTTTTGATTTTGTAATGATTTACCCTAGACTTGACTTTTTTTATGATGTTTTAAATGACTATAAGTTAGAGCTTATTTATATATTAGGGGTTTGTGGACCATAAAGTCTTGATGTTTGACTAATTATTTTTGTGTTTGTGTTTTATTTACGTATTTTTATTATGGGTGACAAAGAGAATGATTGTGTGTTTTTGATAAAATGTGATACTTGGCTTTTGAGAAGTATTCATTTATCTACACATTTTATAAGGGACACTTTATATAGTTTTATTTAGGATATGGTCATCCGTTCTCGAAGGATATGGTCATGTATTTTTTCTTTATAGTATTTAGTTGTTCTTTTAAAAATATGGCTACAATCCTTCCCTCATGGTAATTACGAGTTTTGCAGCTCATAGTATACGAATACACCTACATAAAGACCTTCTAGATAGAAAATTTTCAAAATACCATACATGTGGTAGTTTTGTTTTTTTTTGTTTTTTTGTTTTTTTTTTTGTGTTCTAAATGATAGGTATTAGCCTTGATGGCTAGTATTACTTTATAAGGTTCATTCCATTTGAGAGTTAGTTTTTTCCTATCTTTTGTGTTTTTTTAGCTTCAAGTTTTTGCAAGACTATGTCTCCTCTATAAAAAGCTCGATTCTTGACTCGGACATTATAATATTGGAATGTTTTTTTCCTATAAGTTTCATTCCTTATCAAAACGATAAGGCAAGTTTCCTCAAATAGGTCTCGTTTAGTTCTCATTTTTTACTCGTTGATTTTCTCCAACTAATGTTGTACTTGGTAATTAGGGTAGCTTATCTCTACGGGAATCATAACCTTCGACCTAAAAGTTAGCATGAAAGGGATTTCCCCTTTAAAGGCCTTTTTGATCATTCAACATACTCATAAGATTTCATTAAGGAGGTCCGGCCATTCTCTCTTCACTTTCTTAATTTTTTCTTAAGGTTGTTTAAAAGAATCCTATTAATGAGCTCAGCCTCTTGTTGGTTTGGAGGTGTGACACTAAGAGAAAATAATGATCAATTTGAAGCTTTTGACAATGCTCTTTTATTTTCTTATCATTGAATTGCATGTTGTTATTTGTTATTAAAACTCGGGCAAGCCAAAGTGGAATATGATGTTTTTTCATATAAAGAATATGATCTTATTTATGTTGATGTTACGTCTACCTATTTGGAGATATAGTATATTGCTATTAGGAAAAATTGTCTTCGTTCGAAAGCTTTTAAGAATGGTTTTAGAATGTTCATTTCTTATTGTGAGAAGGGCTATAGTGACGGAATGTGTGATATTTTTTATTGATGATTATCATGGTATGGACATAAATCTTTGACATTTGTCATAAGTCTTGATTAGGAGGTCGGTATCCCAAAAGATTATAGGCCAATAGAAGCCCACATGGGTGGCTTAAGAAGCTAAAGCTCTTGTGCCTAAATGGAGACTATATACTCCTTTATGTATTTCTTAGAGCATATACTAATTTTTTTTCGACGAAATGCATTTTAACAAATGCGTGGTGATAGACCTTTGGTAGAATTGGTCATCTAAGAGGCGGTATCTAGATGTTCTTTGTATCTACCAAATGGCCTCATGTCTTAGTTACAAGGAGTATTTCATCCTTTCGGTGATATTCAATTAGGATTTGCCGGTCGTTCTTAGGAGTGAATGAAGAATAGAGCCAATGACAATCATGGCGTGTTCTTGAATGCTTGGCTCTTCTAGAATTTATCCTTGGGGGAAAAGCTCCGTGAGATTATTGCTTGCTAGTTTGGAAAAATTTTCCAATTAGGAGTTTTCCCCTAGGTATACAAGAGATCATAATTGCTTTTCCCTCTAGCTTTGCTTCTTTTAAGAATCCCATGACCAGCTATCGATATATAACCATGAAGGGTTCTCTTACCTCAAAGTTTTTTTGGCATTGTTCATCGATTAATTAAGAGTCTCTATAGACATTGAGTTGATGGGCTTTCAACGTCTTTGCTAAGTTTAGGTCTACTAGTATGGCTACATATTTACCGAGTGTTGTTAGAATATAAAAACTTAAAACGAGAGGTTAGATTGATAAACTTTTTGATATAAGTCTATTAGAATCTGTATGTCATGCATTCGTGAACGTTAAAAGCCCCGTCTACATATAACTTTCATGCTTCTAGTGATGTGATTTTTTAGTTACCTTTTATTTCGAGCAAGAAGTCATTAAAAGAGTATTTGACTATAAGGTATGCTAGAGCCTAGGCTTTAATCACTAGTCATGGTTTGTACTAAAGTATGTATTCTCTCAATTCGATGGTCCACTACACCAAATGGATGGATATGTTCAATTTGTGACTCTTCTTTGGTGGATAAGGACCCTTTAACTTTTAAATTAATAGTCGAAGGTGACAAATTAACTTGAAAAAAGGTTCTTTTATGCTAATGTGTGCTAGTTTTTTATCTAATATAGCAAAAGAGTGGGAGGCGTACGGGATGAGTCCGTATAGAGAGTAACTATAGAACCTATTTCGAGTTCTTTTAGGTTATGTTCATAGGATTCAATTTGCTTTTATAATTAGTAGAAGAGCTGACGGATGTTAGTGTTTTGCTATCATTATATATAATTCTATAGCTACGATGGTGCGATCATGATTAGTGGTGATTTGGTTGTTGCATCATTAGATATTCTTATTAAATATTGCATCATTGTTTACTTGTGTCCTTTGTTTGTGCTTGTTGTTTTTTCCAGATATACCTTTTTTTATTGCTTGAGAAGATAAGGCTAAATGAGTTAAGGAGAGGAAATTGAGAAAAAAAATCTAATTTGCAGGGAAAGTGAAGTCAAAATCAATAAAATAGCTATTTATTTCTTCATATGAATGGCATCTTCATTTCAAACCAAGGGTATATGATTTGTGTGTTGTCGTTAAAATCAGATCTTTTCATTGGTTTTGATAAATAAATAAATAAAAGAATATCTTCATTTCATTATTAGTATTGGCTGAACTGTGTACTGGCACAATGATACTTCCTAAAAACATCTCCTGAACATCGAAACAAAATAGAGTGAATAATAACCAAGTGACAGAGAAAGAGAAGCACGGGATGATTGAGGATCGAAATTCCATAAACCGACCCAAAAAAAAAAAAAAAATTGACCTCCGGCACTATCTGGCATAGATGCATTTGTCATTTGTCATTGGGCACCTGCAAGAATTGACAGCTTCAGAGATGTTTTGCAATTCATAAGCTTCCGCTTATGCTTAAAGATAGTACGTAAAAGGTTTTGGTTGCAAGGAACAGATTACACTTATATTAGTAGTTATATTTACGTGCGAACTGCAAAAGGCCGTCTTAGCTCAGCTGGTAGAGCGCATGGCTTTTAACCATGTGGTCGTGGGTTCGATTCCCACAGACGGCGGATATGTTTTTTCTTATGTTGCATGCGCTTTCCCCCATTTTCGTTAAGAAAAAAGTTAACAAATATGAAAACCCAGTTAATAATGAGTCAAATGGTGAAATACGAAATAGTGTTTGGTATCATAACTTGACGACTTGAAGCATTACGATTATAATACATACATTTACGTGCTATGTGAGTGAATGAAAATGAGATTTTAATTTTTTTAAAAATAATATATGATTTTATTTATATTATATTGAACTTTACCATTATTGCTATTTGTATTGATATTTCACCACTATTGTTGTAATCGTCATTAACACTGATGATGACACAATTTTTTTTAATATTATTTTTATTGTATCATAATTTTCAATACTGCTATTGTCATAACAGTTAGAAGTGGTGATGATATTTTTTTTATGAAAAAAATTTATTATTTTGTTATTATTATTGAGATTATCCTATCACTATTTTTCTACAAACAACAATACACTTTTTTCATAGTCGCTTTAGATGATAGTTACTTTGTCTTATTTTAAAAAAATATTATTATTACTATTACTATTATTTTACTATTTTTATTCTATAAATACCATAACTCATCATTATTTTTCTACGGTAACCTCCTATAACAATGACATTAATTTAATTTTTAAATTTATTATTATTATTATTAGTACCATAATAATTTTCTTCTTTTCCTCTTTCACCATCACTTATACAATCATATTTTTCGTTTTTACTACACCACCATTGATAAAATTATTATTTTATTATTTTTTCATTTTATAAGCCAAACATTAATAAATTTAATTTTTTTTATTTTTTTTATTATTACAAACATAGTATTGAAATTACAATGTCATTATGATTCCTTGATTTTTATTTTGATTCTTTTATTTTTATTTTGAATTTTTTATTTTTAATAATGAAACGATACCTTAGATTTACAAATTAATCAATATACAATAATAAAACAGATGCAAAACACAGGTATTTATAGAATAGAAACACGTGATTTGCTTATGTGTCAGTAGATCCACATACCAACTAATAATAATTCACCATCTATTTTAACAAATTAAAACAGAAATGAGTCCCTATTGCCACATGTCTTGCACATAAAAAAAAATTAAATTAAAAATAGTTATCAAGTTTGAAGGGAAAAAAAAACCAAAGAATTGTAAACTAAAAACTTAGAATTACAATTTCTTATGATATGTTAATTGTTATTTATTGCATTATTAAATTGATTGAAAGCTGATGTCATAAGTTTTAGTTTAAGATGTATATTGAGTATATTCTGTTAGGATGTAGGAGAAAAAAGAAAGTAACGGTCTCTAATACTAGATCAATTTATATTTTTTGAAGCTGTTCAAAAGCTCATGATGGTATAGGAATTCAATTACATATTATTAACATCCTTATTAGTTTTCAATTGAGGACTTTCGTAATTAAATTATGATATAAAATAATGCCATTTATATAATTGCTTTAGAAAATTATAAATAATTAAGAATTTAAAATTGAATATACATTCTAGGATATGATTTAAAATTTTTAATAAATATTTATATATCTGTCACGTCAATATGTTAATCATGCGTCATAGGATATAAACTATGATGAGTATTTTCATTTTTCACTTAGTGCTGGTGTTGAATAATGAGAGCTGAAGACCTCAAATTAATTCATTACCGGTCATGCTCGATCATTATCATAGTATTCATATCCACCCGAAATAACTTTAAACCATAGTTGAAATATGAAAAATTATTTATATATATAAAATTCCATGGAATAAGAGAATCTATATTCGAATCTCTCTTATTTGTATTTGTCTCCTTCAGTGCTTGCATGAATGTGAAAATCCCTCTGTACTCCATTGAATAAACAGAGCCGGTTACAACTGTCATAAAAATAATTTAGGAGCGTGAGCCCAACTTTTCAAATCCTTTTCAAGAAAAATGCCTTTTTTTTCTTTTTTTCTTTCATGTCTTGCAAGTGCCCATTCGAGTGAATTATAAATTATTTCTTTTAGTTTTAAAAAATAATTAATTAGTTATTTTTATTTTAAAAATTATTTACTTACTTTTTTTATATATATAATTTACTCGCGTCTTTTGGCAAGGACAATAGTAATCCACCTCTCATTCTCCAGGTGTCCATAAGCGCCACAAAATCGCAGCCTCACGGCTGCCGTAGCTAGCCCTTCTAAACATACTCTCTATCGACACTCGCTTCTTCTACAGCTACTACCCTTGCCTCCTTAATATTCCACCCTTGTACTATGCTCAAAATACAAAAATACCATCCAATAAAACGCGATTATACCATTCTCCTCTACACTCGCGACGAAACTTTAATACCACACCAAAATGAACAGCACCGACCTGAAATACAGCAAAATCAGGACTCTGTTGAGAAACGAAAGACGTCTGCTCCTTATTCCGTTTTCGGTACACACGGTATCAAATAAACGAAAACAATCTTCTCTCAGATTTCAATCTCTCATTTATTGACTTTTTTATCTGCGATCATGGTGACGTTTCAAGTCTCTACATTTCGTTTGCTTCACTAGAAAGGTAACATTGTTTTTTCTGTTGTTTTTATATCCGTTTTTTCATGTGTTCATGAATGCTCTGTTTTATATAGCTACACAAGTTGATTCTACTTCTGGCTCTATTTGATTCTGGAGAAAGCGAACGTGAAACGATGGATGCTAGGGTTTCTGCTCGGTGTGTTTGCTTTGAAAAGGTAGGAAAAGAAAAGAAAAGAAAAACATGAGAATATGTTTTATTTAGCTGAAAAGAAATGAGGCAGTTGCTATTTAGATTTGATGGGTTTTTTTTTTTTTAATGAATAAAATAGATTTGAAGTTGAATATGTGTTATTTTTCACATTAAATGAAGTTAAAAACAAGATAGTTTTATTTTTATATACACCATAGTCCATATAATGTTAGCTTTAAAAACTAACAGAATAAGATTTCGTTTTTTTTTTTCATGGATAAAATAGATTTGAAGTTGAATATGTGTTAGTTTTCACATTAAATAAAGCTACAAACAAGATAGTTTATTTTTATTTTATATACTCCATAGTCCATATAATGTTAGCTTTAAAACAAACAGAGTAAGATCTCCATTTTTTTTTTCATTTATTATTTATTTCCTTAGATCTTTTGAGCATTTAAAGCAGGTGATATGCTTGGACCAAAAAAAGAATGAAGACGAAATGCTGAATCTGATCCTAATTTATAAATAAGCAGTCATTAGCTTTTTTCCTTAGTACTTTTAGCAACTAATAAAATAATTAATTTGATGACTAAACTAAGTACCTTTAGTTTTGCTCGTGTTGGCTCATGAATGCTAATCTCTTTACGTAATTAAGATGTATTACTATTTGCTTACAAACAATGCACAAAATTAATGAAATGCTTTGTTGTTTTGACAATACATCATCGGGGACTGTAAGAAATTGAGTGAGTTTATTGAGAATATGATGTCTGAAATGGCTTATAATTGAGTGGTGTTTTTAGGTTCGTGATGTCTCATAAATCAGAAGAAAGGGACATGAGCGAGTCCGAATTCGAAAAGTATGAATTCAGGAAGTATGAAGATTAGAATGGGGAAAGAATTAGAGTTTCCAATTCAGTTTATAGATGTCCCTACTGTATTGGAAAGAGAGATTGCCATCTTAAGGAGCTTCTCCAACATGCTTTTGATCTTGGTAGAGGCTCACAAAGGACGAATCAAAAAGCGCAAGCTCAACACCGAGCTCTTGAGAGGTATATTCCGAGATATCGTGATGTGGAGGATAGCTTGGAATCCTATGTCAAGATTGAGTCTTCTGCTGTATATGATGGAGATAAGGAAAAGCTTTTCGTTTGGCCTTGGATGGGGATTGTTGCAAACATTCCAACTCAAGTGAAGGACGGACGTCGTGTTGGAGAAAGTGGCTCAAAACTCAGGTACGAGTTAGCAACAAAAGGGCCGCTTTGGTCATTCAGGATTTGCTATCATGGAATTAAAGAAAGACTGGGGTGGATTCAAGAATGCCATTATGTTCAAGAAGGATTTTGATTTGAATCGTTGTGGGAAAAAGGATTATACTAGAACTCCAGAGAGGGATCGAGGGCAGAGAATGTATGGATGGATTGCTCGAGATGATGTCCACAAAGCCAATGGTCTTGTAGGAGATCATCTCAGAGAGAATGGGGATTTAAAAAGTGTGTGGAAAAGAAGCAGAGGATCAAAGGAAGGATGCCAAACTTGTTTCCAACTTGACCAGCACCTTAAAAGAGAAGAATGGCCACCTTAGAGAAATGGAGAACAGATACCAGGAGACTAATCAATCCTTTATCATGTGGATGGATAAAAAGGATGCAATGGTTAAGTCTTACAATGAAGGCATGTTTCAATTTTGCGCAGTTTGACTAAAAAGTAAAACAAAACAGACCATTAATGGGATTTTACTTTGAATTATTCAAATTTCCAGTTAATATTCTAGAAAAGCTTATGCTCTGTTTCTTTCTGCATGTCATGGGATTAGAAATTAAAAAAAATGCAGCAGAACGAACACGACCATTTTAAGAACATTTTTAGAGCATGAAAAGGCCACACAACAATTACTAGCTAAGAAAGAAGAATTAAACCAGCGTGAGAAGAAACTGCAGCAACGCGAGGTGCAGAATGAAAACGAGAGGTCGAAACTTCTGCTTGAGCCAAAAATGGTAACACACTGGCTTTCTTAAAGTTGTCAATTTCTAGCTATGCTGGAACTTTTGCAAGATGACTGAAATTGATAGGTCTAGGCCAGATTTTGAAGATTTCTATATTAACGTTTTACATTCATTTGTCAACCTATTAATCCATATCTAAGTTGGTCCAACATCGGTCAAGATAAAAAGTCCGTGATGTTTTAGCAGATATTTCAGTTTTGGAAGGCAAAAACCAAGGCTATTTATTTGAATATCTTTACCAGTGTCCCTCTTTCTCCTTTCGCTAATTATTTGTTGAACATTTTATGCTAGTTAAACCAGATGCTCGGAAAATCTTGGTGCTTTTGGTAATGTTTGCATGTGGTGAAGGATACCTGAAATTGGTGCATACTTAACTTCCAACATTAGTTTATGAAATTATTTTTTTACTGCCTTGTTGTTAATAGACAAAGTGTGTTAAGATTGGCAGAAGAACAAAGGGTACATTCATTCATTTCTGAACTAAATGTTTGACTAGAAAAGTACAATGTGTATCAGGTTGATAACCAATAGAGTTCCCATTTTGTGGTAAGTGGCCAATGTAGATGGAAAAGGAGAAACTTTACAAGAAAATAATTGAACTGGAGAATAAACTAGATGCTAAACAAGCACTCGAGTTGGAGACAGAGTGCATGAAGAGTGCTTTGCAAGTAATGAAACACTTGGGAGAAGAGGGAGACCTGGATGTCAAGAACAAAATAGATACTGTTCGACAGGAATTGAAGGAGAAGGAAGAAGAATTAAACGGATTGGAGGAACTTAATCAGGCTCTTATCATCAAAGAGCACAAAAGTAATGATGAATTGCAGGAAGCTCGTAAGGATTTATTCAGTGTAAGTACCTAAAATTTTTGAGTTTGAACATCATTCAAAATGAGATTAGAAAGGACCGGGCAGGGTGAATCAAGGGTAAAATTTTTTGTATCAAAGTCGATAGCTAATTAAGAGGATAAAGTTTGTGATCGTATGCTTGATTTTCATCTTACTCATGAGGTAATGCCTGCTGTTTGCTGAAAGTCTGATTTCCATGTTTCACATTACTTGGGGCAATGGAACACCCGTGGTTTTATTGTTGTCAAAAGAATGGGAGATCTTGATAGCAAACCATTCCATGAGGCAACCAAGGGAGAATTTTCAGGTAGAGAAGCAGCTCAGAAAGCACTTGAGTTGTGTTCACTATGGGAAGATCAGCTTCGAGATCGGAGCTGGCATCCATTTCAGGTCATCGCTGATAAGGAAGGGAAGAGTGAGGTATTCATTTAAATGATCAAACAGTTCAGTTATGCTCTATTTAAACGGAATGGTAACATTAATTGATAACGTAAATAAACATGAATGTTTTGCTAGTCCTGCGTAACTTTGTTTAGGCACAAAAAGTATGAAATGCCAATAGATTGTTGTAATTGCCTTTTCAAACCTGAATCTCGCCTGCTTTTCTTCCTGTTCATAAACATAGATCTGTTGTTATTCCTGCCTAAATTTCTACAACTTTGTACAGGCATAGAAACTATGAAATGCCAATAGCTTGTAATTGCCCTTGTAAACCAGCCTGCTTTTGGTCCTGCTTACGCTGAGGCTTTATGGAAGCTTGTTATTTTCTTTAGCATGATGTTATTGCAAACAATAGCTTGATAATCCTCCAATATATGGTAGTACTTGTCCTCGAAGATGGTTAGAAATGCAAGCTGATTTTTTGTTGATTTTTTCTTTTATTCTCTTTCCAAACAAGCTGTGACCTTGTCTCACTGTTATCTTCAATTTGTCTTTGTAGGAAATAATAAACGAAGATGATGAAAACTTGAGAAGTCTGAAGAGTGAGCATGCAGATGAAGTTTTTAATGCCGTGGAAACAGCCTTGAAGGAAATGAATGGGTATAATCCAAGTGGTAGGTACATAATACCAGAGCTCTGGAATTTCAAGGAGGACAGGAAGGCAATACTGAGTGAGGGAGTGATGACTTATTAAGGCATTGGAGGCAATGTAAGAAAACAAAAACCTGAGGTGCGTGTCCTTAACTATTCAAGAAAAAACATAAACATGATTATGCAGTTTGAGTGAATGCACAGTTTTTCTGTTATTCTTTAACATGATCAAGAACAACAATAAACTGAGTAACTTTGTGTAATATTTGAAGGACCTCAAAGATGACAACAATTTGGTTTTCATGGTTGCTGATATCTTCTTTCTGCTAGATATACCCAAGTATACCCTCTATAGATGCCTTGATGCTGTCTTTCATTTTCCTCGAAATTATAGTGATGTTGAGATGTATAAACCACTGTCAATACGCTAATTGCTTTCGGCATGCATGCTGTAAATGGAAATTGTTGAATTCACCTAGGCAACAAAGAGCTTGGCAGTACATGAATGGTTTGTGTTATGCCGGAGGCCTCATCTCTCACGCCCACCCAACGCACACAAACGTAAACACTAGCATTTTATATTGATTAGTAGCTGTATTGTAGTTCTGAAAAAAATGAACTGTTTGTTCTTCCCAGAGTTGCAGCTAGGAAGCGCACTTTGTCAGGTATTTGACACGACTGTCATGCTTAAGCTCAAGTGACGATTTTCTATGCTACAGAAGAGTGGTTTTATCTTCATGTTAACCAAAAAAGAGAGGAAATAGAATGGACTGGTTCAGTTAAATAGCATTGCACAGGTATGTTAAATTGGCTTCTGGATTGATCATGGAGTAGTGTTTTTTCTGTGAGTCTGTGACACGGACACCGATATACTTCAGGCGCATCTAAAAGTTCGCGGTCTCTTTTTCTTTTCTCTGTCCCTTCTAATCCAGGACTCGGGCCTATCTAAAAGTTAATTATTAAGTTTAAAATTCACGACAGGATGCAATAATCTTGACAGGCTTTTTATGTTTTCTTGTCAAGTAGGAGAATTTGTGCTGGGCTGTATGCCTGTATCAAATTCAAAAATTTTGACTCCAGTAGCCCATGCGGACAAAAATACATTATGACCCAGGACCTTTTATCAATCTGTAGTTTGGAAAACGCTGCGACGAACAATTTTTAGGCATAAAGATTTGATGGCCCTTAGAAGATGGTGCTTCTAATTGGTTAGAATCGCAATTCAAAAGCACAAAGTGGTTGTGTTTAGAGAAAAATAGGTTTTGAGTAAAAAAGCAGGTTTATGGGTGTTTTGAGTTAAAAAGTCGTGGTTTTGTAAACTCAATATACTTGGTATTATTTTTAGATGCGAACTCTGGTTTTGAAAATTAGATTACATACAGTCCAGGAAAATTATGTTTGCTAATTGGGCTTGTAAGTCCAGATCAAATTTTGGATATAAGACCATGGAAGGAAACTTCAGAGGGTAAAATAGTAATTTTCACTTTCAAAATTTGCTTTCTTTTGTCCTCTAACTAGAATAATTGTATTATAAACACACCAACTTTCAATCTTTTTTTTTTAACTCGAGTACATCAATTTTAATTTTTTTTTTGTTTGAATATTTCAATTTTTTCAAAAATTCTAATCAAGTTTTTTCATCTAATTATCAAAAGATGATATGACATTTAATGCGTAATATTAAATAAGTTATTTGTCCTTTTTTCAAAGAGTATTAGTTAACTATTTTTTATCAAAAAATTGAAGAGGGCAAAGACAGGCCTGGCCCGACCTTCCTTTTTTCAGCAAATAAAAAAAAAAAATCCTAGAATGAAAGACTTGAGCATTGTTCTAACATTCTCGAGTCTTGTTACGATAACAAGTTAGCAAAAATGGCAAGCACTAGATTCCTCTATAGTAACAATATCATTTTGCACTCGTCAAACTCGCCTCCAATCTCTCGCCTTCCTTGAATCCAATTTAGGCGCTTACACCACCACTACACAAACGCACAACAATATAAGCATCTCCCTTATTCCGGGACCAACACTTACAACCATTTTCAAATTCGATCAAATTCCTCTTAACTTCAAACCCACAATTCCTCTTCAAATCCTTAAACTCCACAACTCGATGTAACAACAATTTCAATTAATTAAAAAACATTAAGAATTGTAAGAATAAATTGTAGAAAACTATGATTCTTATTCAAAATCAAGGTAAGATAACGATTGAAATACAATGTTATTTATGAAAATAATTAAAGAAAATATCTATGCAAGTTACAAGAAGAAGAAGAGTTACGGAGGAAAGGTAGAAGAAGCTAGAAGAATCTAAAGAGAGTTTTTGAAGAAAGAATAAGGAGAATAATTCTACTAACCATACGATGATTCCCTACACTTTTCTCACCCTCTAATATTAAACAACTTAGCTAACAACCTTAACTAATTACTCTTCTAACTACTAACAAGTAACTAACCTCGAATTAATTGTTTGGTTACTAATATCTTCTGCCACATATGACCCGCTTACCAAGCATATTACTAAACCGTTGTTAGTTTATTAACAAAGGTTTGCATCAATACCCTCCCTCTTTAGAAACTTTGTCCCCAAGGTTAAATACAAGAAAACATTTCTCCATATCAAAAGCAAACTCCTTATTTGCATCACATAACAATGCCATTTGACCATTAAATAAGTAGTTTAGTGATAGCTTGATCACTTTTCTTAACCATTCTTCTGTCTAGAATGGATACCGGAACTAGTGGCACCTACAAAGACTCTAATAACTCGATTGGATAAAAACATATCCATAAACTAGTTTGAGTTGAGATACATAGAAAGTAGGATGAATTAATGAATGAGGGGTAAAAGCGAGTGTAAGCAATTTCCCCTATCTTCTCAATAATCTTAAAATGTCCAAATAACCTAAGGGATAACTTAATATTAGGCTCGGATGCCACAATTTGTTGCTTGTAAGGTTGTAACTTCAAATACACCCATTCTCTAATCTCAAAAACCCTATTTGTACATTTCTTATCGACTTGCATTTTTATGCAATGTTGTGCCTTACTTAAATGATGCTTCAAGAATGCAATAATATTCTTTTTTCTTACAACAATTCATTAATTATTGTGCCTTTACAATCGAGCAAATAAGGAAGACGTATTGAAGGGGAGTAGCCATAAAGAGCTTTAAATGGGGATTACTTGAATGGATGTATGAAATGAAGTGTTATACCAAAATTTAGCTAGGCACAACCATTTACACTAAGCATTAGGAATAGCAGAAGTCGACATCATAAATAGGTCTTTAAACACTTATTAACTACCTCGGCTTGCCCATCAGTTTGAGGATGGTAAGCAATAGAGAATTGTAATGGGGACCCTTGATATGCAAACAATTATCTTCAAAATTTACTCAAAACATAGAATCCCTATAAAAAAAAATGATGTTCTCGTTGTGACCCATGCAACTTATACACTTGTTCCATGAATAATTTAGCCACTATACTAGTAGTATAAGAATGTGAAAAGGCTATAAAATAAGCATACTTAGTTAATCTATCCACCATCATAAAGACCATAAACTTACATTAGGAGATCGACAATCCTTTAATGAAGTCCATTGTAATGTCGGTAAAGATTGCTTAAGGTAATTATAGAGGATTCAATAATCCCGAAACTACAATATTCTCATACTTGCATTCGTGATAAGTTTTACAATTTTGCACATACCCTCATGTCTCTTTAAGTAATCCTTTCCAATAAAACAAAGCTATCAATTTCTTTACGGTACCACTTAATTTTTGAACCCTCCTTGTAGATGAGTCATAAAATAAGAAAATTAAATCCTTATGTAAGTCACCATCATTGCCCACCACCAATTTGCCTTTTCTTCTTAAGTGATGGTCTAACAATAAATACTTGGAATACACTCCCATTAGACCTTGTAATTGAGATAAAACCACCGATAATATAGGATCTAAAATCTAAGAATGCCTAATCCTTGTCTTCGAATATATGGATATAGGAAAAATAATAATTATTACCAACTTGTATCCTTAAGAGCGCATTTATAACTATGTTTTTCTTCCTCTTTTTATACACAATCTGATAATCATAGCCCTAAAACTTAACCAGACCAAGTAAGCCGACTAGGTGTGTGAATTTTATACTCAAGTAAATGCTTAAGACTCGATGATCGATCTGGATTACAAAATGTGTATCTTCCAAATATTGATGCCTCTTCTTAACGACAAAAAAATGGCAACAATTCCTTCTCATATGAAGATAATATTTGGTAGTTAGTGCTTAATAACTTGTTAAATATAGGCAACGTGATGCCTTTTCCGCATAAGCACTCGCCTCAATTCCAACTCCAAAAGCATTAGTTTCTATCACAAAGTCTTTTATAACTATAGCAAAGCTAACACAAGAGTAGTTATCATTGTTTCTTTTAACTCCTTAACAAGCACAATCAACTAAAGGATTCCATTGGAATCTATCTTTCTTAAACAAGTCGATCAATGGTTTGGCAATCTTTCCATAATCTTGAACAAACCTCCTGTAATTTCCGATAAATCTCAAAAACCCGTACAAATCTTTAAGATTTTATGGTTTTGGTCACCGATCCACCACTTCTATTTTCTTAGGATCATTTGAACTCCGTATTTTGATATAAAGTGTCACAAGCATTCCACCATTGGAGTGCTAAATGCGCATTTAAAGTATTTGACCAACGAAAAGTTCTCTAGCAACATAGACAATGCAATACGCAAATGGTGAACATGTTCTTATAAAGTTTTACTAAAAACTAATATATCATTAAAAAAATACTAGAATGAATTTTTGAAGCAAAGGTGTAAAAACATTATTCATCAAGGATTGAAAAGAACTAGGGGAATTAGTTAAACCAAAAGGCATAACCAAATACTCATAATAGCCATTATGTGTCCTAAAAGTTCGTTTTAAGAATGTCTAGAATATGCATTCTGATTTTGTGATAACCTAAACGTAAATCTAGTTTAGGAAATATAGTTGATCCTTGTAATTGATTTAGAAATTCTTCAATTATAAGAATTGAAAATTAATTTTTGATAGTCATCCGATTAAGTTTCATTTAATCCACACACATCCTTCATAAGTTATCATTCTTTTTTACCAACACCACTAGAGAAGAAAAGAGACTTACACTACGTTGTATAATTTCATTTTCTAACTTCTCCTTCACTTGTTTTTCTATTTCATCTTTTTAGACAAAATGATATCGATAAGGTTTCAAACCGATAGGCTTAGATCCCTCCTTTAATTGTATTCTATGGTCAAATGCTCTCTTAGGAGATAACCCTTTAGGTTCCATAAAAATATCTTAAAACAAGTTTAATACCATCAACGCTTCTACAATAACAAATTGTATTATATCTACTCCATAGTTTTTCATTTTTAATTCTTCAAGGTCTACCAACTAGTTTTATTACAACCAATTAATATGATGTTGCTTATAAAAAATCTTGTCCATTGCCTTTTCTTCCTTATTTTTACTTAGTTCAACACATTTCCTTTGTAATGATACATATTTTCCATCCTTTATAAATCTCATCTACATTTCTTTAAAATTTCAAGTTATGTCCCGCGATGCATATAACCATGTTACTTCTAGAATTAATTCATATATTCCCAAATGTATTACATACACGGTAGCTTCAAACTTCTCTCCTTACATTTTTTATTTGAAGTTATTACATTTATATTCACATATAATGTCTCCATCATTTTCCACTCTAATGACTATAAGTTGAATCTTAACTACATCACATTGATTTTGTTTTTACAAATCCCAAATCAATGAAGTTATGAGTACTACTCGTGTCAATTAAAATATGCATCATCTTTTCCTCGCTACTCACCTACCATTTTTATTGTTTGATAATATTTCCCTCCAAAAACAACATACATTAAGACTCGATATAATTCCTTAGTCATATTCTCCATATTTTCATACTATTCATAAATGTGTTATTGTTCCTCAGTTACTTCCATCTTAGTATCTCCATTTCCACTATCCTTTACTTTTTAGCATGAACATCTGTCTTCCTTTATATCTATGACCAGGCATATATTTGTTATCATAAAAATAATATAATCTTTTTAACCTTGTTTTGTCAAACTCATTGTTGCTAGGGAGTTTTATGGTTCAAAACACATAACTACCGTTTTGAAATTATGCTGGTAATGGAAATATGCTTTTCTGGTTATTTTGATCGGTGTTATAGTCGTTTATTTGAGGTTTTGGGTTCATTGCATTAGGTCAATAGGTATTGTTTGGAAAATATTTATATGGTTGATTGAACAATGAAGTGTTAAAGGTTGGTTTTTGGTTGAATGTAGGTGAAAACTTAGCATGAAATCTATGAGAGTTAGGTCGAATGTTTAGATTGGTCATTTGCGGCTTAGTTAAGCTACTACTTCCTTAAATGCTTTAGGTCTCATGTTTTTTCTAGTTACTTATAACTCCGATTTCAAACCCCCTATAAAGCAACTAATGATGTACTCATCGGGTAAGATTAATTTGTTAAAATAGAAATAAACTTCCTAAGAAAAAATTGAACATTATAAGTTTGTTTCAATCCTATCGACTTCTGCCATAAGATCATTAAACATCATCACACTAAAGCATATACTCATTAATTCTATATAGCCTTCCCATTTAATCTCCGATTTAACTCAATGCATCCTCACAAAGACCTAGTGCCATTCTAAAGCCTCCTCATCCAGATGAATAGTAACTAAGTTCACTTTCGCTTCCTTGGGTGTTCTATCCCCTATGAAAAATCTTTCACACCTAAATATACATCCTTCAAAATCCTCTTTAGCAAATCTATAAAACTTCACCCTAGACATTTGAGTATTACAATTATATACCATATTGTTTCCTACGTAGTGATTATTCTTCAAGCCATTATTCATACTAGTAGTAAGGTATCATACACGGGAACTTAGTAACCTCTATCATTAACTTCTCCTATTTCTTCTTCCAAATTAGTATTCATTCTACTTGTTATTTCTTCATGTACTAGATTTTTATTAGCTAACTCTTTCAATTCTCTAATATCTTGATCATGCTATGCAAAAACAGAATCACACCTTCAAGTAAGCTTAGTAATTACCTTTGTAAGAATAGTAATTGATTCTTTCATCTTTTTTTAGATCATCATTTGCTTTTGCCATGATTAACCAGTTTGTTTCACTCTTCAACGAGTGCGAGAATCAACTTTGATACTCATTAATGCGGCTCCAATTCTAATTAATTGAAAAAACATTAAGAATGGTAAGAATAAACTATAGAAAACTATGATTCTTATTCAAAATCAATGTAAGATAACAAGTGAAATATAATGTTATTTATGAAAACAATTGAAGACAAGTAGCCATGCAAGTTATAAAAAGAAGAATAAGAAAAATTACAAAAGAAAGGTAAAATAAGCTAGAAGAATCAAGAGAGAGTTTTTGAATGAAGAAAATGGAGAATAATTATGCTAACCATACAATGATTCCCCAAACTTCTCTCACCATCTAATATTAGCTAACAACTTTGTTAACCACCTCAACTAATTACTCTTCTAATTGTTAACAAGTAACTAACCCAAGAATCAATTCTTTAGTTACTAATATCTTCTACCACATATGATCATGTTGCTAATATATTACTAAACTGTTTCCAGCTTATTAAGAAAGGTTTATATTAACAACATACCGGATATTGTCCCTTACTCCACCACCAAAACCCATCTAGGATTCAATAATTAAGCCACTCATCAACGAGTCGATAAATAAAGTCTTGTTAATTATGTTGAGGGACATGAGACATGAGGGAGAGGAATTGAGAATTACTACTCTTCTTATTGAGAATATAGAGAAATTGAATGAAGTTAAGGAAAATGTTTTTGAGGCATTTGATGTTCATGTTCATGTAGTGAGTCATGTGCCTCATGTGTGTGGTGTTAAAGGAAATGGAGCAAGAGTAGTTATGGTTGGTCCTATCGAGGGATTTTGCAAAAGCTAAGTATTCTAATTGGGGTAGGTGAGAAAGTAAGCAAAGTGTTTTTAATATTACTTTTATTTTTTCTTTCTACTCTTATTATTATGTGAATTGTGTTTTTTGAGGATGTAGCAAAAGTTAAGGCCTCCTTCAACAACTAAGCTATTGTTGTCTAATGATGGTGATCGAATAATTAAAGGTTGTGTCATAAATTTTTTTGTTGTTTGTTGCAAGGCGAGTGATTGAGAATATTAGAGCAATGTTCAATGCTTTCATTCTAGGTTGTTTTTTTTTTTTTTTTTGAAGAGAGGAAGGTCAAGTCGGGTTGATCTTCGACTTCTTTAATTTTTTTTTTATGAAAAATGATTAACTAATAATTTGAGAGAAAAGAAAAAGTAAAAAAGTCATTTAGTATTCTACATTAACTATCATATCATCATTTCACGAAATATTAAACGGAAAAACTTGATTGAAATTTTTGAAAAGGTTAATATGCTCAAATAAAAAAAATTAAAACTAATGTACTAAAATGAAAAAAAATAAAATAAAAGCTAGTGTATTTATAAAATAATTATCATTACTAGAGACTAGAGAGTGAACATAAAATCATTTACATGGTAGCATCTAAATTTAAGTCTTTTGTTTGTTAAGATTATGTTCAAAAGGAAGGGAAAGTAGGATAGATTTTACAAGAATAAAATTAGGTTGCATTTTTTTTTTTTTTTTTGAGGAGGTGAATTATTAAGGGGGCTAATGATTATTCTAGATTAGTGTTTTTGGAAGGTAAATTTTACTAGAAGATGATATTGATATTCCTCAAATGATAGTCACACTCTTTAATCCTTTCTCTCTCTCTCTCTCTATCTTTTCATTGTGAAATAAAAAAAATTATCTTGAATTAAATATTCTATTTTGTCACACTTTCTCTTGTTGTTGTTCGTGCTTCACATAAAACAAGTAAATTATAAATTGGTCGGTTTAGTTTTTTAAAACAAATTGAATAGTTTTCATAGTTTCTAAAATTAATTAATTAGTCCTTATATTTTTAAATCTATTTGTAACTTAATATTTCTTCATTCTTTTTCAATTTATTTTGATAGAGTAAGTATTTTTGGTTACTTTATGAGTATTATAAAACTTCTTTTAATATTATGCAATTTTTGACATCTTATTTATGTGGTCAAGAAGTATTATTAAATTAAAAGGGTTTACTGCACATTTATTATTCAATTTTTTTTTATTGAAACCCTCTACTTTTTTTAGCTTAATTAAAATCATATACTCTTCAAAATTTATTGATTCAGATCTTTTATTATATCTTTGTCGATTATTCATTTGACATAACACTTTATCATTAATAGCCACCAATCATTGGTCAACAAGTGGGTTATGAGTCCAAAAAACAATTTAAAAAATTAAAAATATTTTTAATATTATACTAAAACTTATGATTAGAAAATTATTGGAAGAGATAGATTCCCAAATCTTTTTCCTTCAGCATCTCGTTCTCTCTCTCCTCACTGGCTTTGTTTATCATGAAGTGGATTTTTGCCTTTGTTTCTCCCTTAATTACTCTATAATCCTCTTGATAATTCTATAATTATAGGTTTAGTACTAGCTAGCAAGTTCATCACATGTGAGAGAAACACATTAGTGCAGTAGTGTGTGTTGGGTTTTGCACAAGGGAAAGGATGAAGAATTTTCCTCAGTAGCATAGTCATTTGCTGTTAATTTTGTCGTTAGTAGACCATATTGAGGTCATGCTACTTAAGCAACATAGTAAAACATGATTTCTTTATTGATGTTTTCTTGGACCTTCTTTACTTCTTACTGTTTCTGTACAATATTATTCAACTCAGAAAGTTTTACTTTGTTATGCAAATTTTTTGAGGTCATTCATAAAGGAAAAGTAGAACTGATGCTAATAATGATGGTGATGACTATAATGATCTAGCTAAAGGCTTGTAGTTTTGCCTAATTGGTGTTTGTTTATTTTGTTGTAATTTTGGTTATTTTAATTGAAACGAAAATAAAATATTTTTTTTGGTTTTAGCTTAATTTACTTCACTGTGACTCTGGATATGGCATTATATCATTCTATTTTGTCAGATCACAATTACAAAAAAAATCACAATTTCTTCTCTATATACTATTTTGTCAGATTTCATATTTGTGGTTGCATATAGCTTGACAACCTTGCTGATTGGAATCAAAGACAAAATATCATTCTAGGAGTAATGCTAGGTGTTGCTAGAGGAAGGTCATTAACCGTTCAAGGTTTTACTGTTAAAAAGCATATTACTCATTGAAGGACAAATTGTAGCTATAGGCTTCTTTTTCAATCAGCACTCATACACCAAACTTACCACAAGAAGGTACATAATGAGCACACATCACGAGGAATCATTTGAGCCCCACTGCCGAACTGAGAAAACAGAGAAGAAAATTTGCGCCAGGCAGGGTATCCAATGTGGTGCTTGTTTTTCTTGTTTCAGGTTGTTGGAATCCTAAGATCCATCTTTTGTGTCGTAAAATGGACAAAAGATGCAAGAGAGCAACAACGTTCTACCCACATGCAGCACAGAGCATCAACCAACCCAACCCCACACCATGTGCAAGTGCAACTTTGGTGCTTTGCTGAATGCAAATGCGTACTGATGCTTCTTGTGATGTGACTGCATTTGTTGTTACACTTAACGGCTAAACTTACTTTGTTACTTGAAGGAAATGGAATACTCAATGTTTTTCTGCCTCCTCCTGCTAAATGGGAGCAAATTGTCATTTTCAAATTTCAATGCTTGCGATTACTTGACATCTTCCTATTTGCCAGTATATGTATAATGGGGTAATTAATTTTCTCATTTCGATAAATTTTATAATACACAAAGAAGTAATTAATGATATGCACATCAATTATTTCATGGATCCATTTTAATAAGAGAGATAGAAAAAAATAAGAGAGAAAATTGAAAAAAATTTAATAAATATAAAAATCTTTTTATCATTTTTTATGGATCCGAATATAATTTAATGTGTCTATCTTTCTCCTTAAAATAAATTCATATTGTGCATGTAACTAATTACTCTTTGTATATTATAAAATTTATCATCTCATGCCAAGGAAGGTAAGGAATTTAGACCTGAAGCAATTACGATCCCTTAGAAATAAATTCGTCCCCTCCAAAACAGCCAACAACAGTTCCTATCCAACAACCTTGGCTAATGGTTCGTTAACTAGTGGTTTCTTAGATTCTCCCTTTTCGTTCCCTGTCTTTTTCCCTGAGGTCATTCTAAAGGAATCTGCAATCCTATTACCGGCGTTTACGCGCAATTTCCTGAACAGAACATAACGCAATAGCATCCTATTGCTGAGAATTCAGAAATTACAATGGATTTGGATGGAGCAAAGGGTAGAAAAATCTTAAAAGACATATATGAGAACTTTCTCATAAATTTAGGAAGCATTAATTTGTCCTACCTGTTTCTATACAGTTATGTTTATGTCTTGTTTTCTAATTAATTGGTTTGGTTTCTTTTTTTATGAGTCTATGTCTTGCTACAATGAACTTTTGGGTTTCGATAATTGATGCTCATCAATCCAAAACCAACTTTACGGTTTTGATGGGTTGGCAGTAGATGGTTGATGGGAGAGTTCCTGGCTGTCATCCTTTGATAATTCCATTAAAATAATGTTACACTAACAAAGCATTAAAAAACGTCACTTTTCAATCTAAAAGTTTAATAAGATATTATTTAATCATCAAAATTTTAATATCATACTTTAAAAAAACATTTTAATTTTAAAAAGTTATACTGTTTAATAAATTTTACAAAAAAAATTATACAAATAATATATATTATGACGTTTACATTTCTCATGAGATACCTTGCATCCCAACCCATTTATTATACATAGAACTGGCACTTGACTACTTGTAAACTAATTTTAATTAAGTAAAATTCAGCTATTTCCATTTATTATGTGTAAGACTTGCGTTTTACTACTTGTAAACTGAATGGACAAATTTTAATATAAGAATGTGATCACTCATTTTACATTTTTAATTAAAATAAGATTTGTCACATACTACGAAAAGAGCTCTTTCTTAATTAATTTTCATTAAATAAAAGCTCATTCCTCGATTTCCTTCAGTATATTTGTCATTATCTTAATGTTAGATCATATAGTTGAATGAAAAAGTTAAATTATTCAGCGCCATTTGCTTCTAGATGGAAATCCTTTGACTGTTGCAATTCGCAAGAAATTTCCAAACCAATTGATGGTATCAAATCAAACCATTGAACTTTTGTTTTGTTTTGTTTTCTTTTTTAAGGTAACATCGTATGCAAAAAGATTGTCTTTCATTTCCTTTCCAAATAGACAAAATAACAATGTTAATGTCGTGGTACCATAAGACACATCAAATAAATATCAATTTGATGTATTTATTTGATGGTTACTTGGTATAAATCCTTGACTCCTGTAAATTGCCTCATCCCAAAGTTCCGATCAAATTTGATGCTTCACTGTTTTTGAAAAGAAATTTGCTTTTATTTTTTACTTGGGCAGTTGGGCCAGGAGAAAAAAAAAACCATGGAACATAAGAACGGTGAACATAGAAAAGCAAACCAAATATTCTTGCCATTGATCAACTACCGTAAATTACTACAATACACTTCTCAAAATGTATACCATCATCATCATACATTACTATAGAACTAGTAGTATTATCTAGACAGCGGGCTAACCATCTTTTGTGCAGCCGCCTCAGCCTCAGTCTCCTCCCCCTATTACCACAACTTGAAAGTTGAGAAACACACACCAATCGGAAAGTCAAAAAAAACAGTCCCCCAATTTCCACTCTCCTTTTTTGGAGTCCCTGATTATAAGCCCACTTTTACTTTCTCATCCCCCAACAACCCCATGTCAAAAAGTAGAAGCCCACCAGGACAAAAAACGAAAAAAAAAAAGCGCCAAAGTAGGGTAAAACTGGAAGATAACAAATTATGGCGGGAAACTTGAATTTTTTTTTAATGGTGGTTAGGAAAAAAAATTAGACCCTGAAATTCTTGCCGGTAAAAGTTTGACCAAACTGCCAGTGGGCAGGGGCAATGTTCCATGAAGTGGAAGAGCGTCTGTCACTGGCCCTGACCCTGAAAGAGAGTGACTGACCCACCAGAACAGCATTTGACTGCCAGTTTTGACCCCAGTTACGGCTCATGCTCATCCAACCAGTCTTTGAACCTTTCACGCTCACCTGCACGATATCCCCTGCGCCAGCCACGTTGCTGATCAATACCAAGTTGAAGTAACGGAATCCGTTTATTGTGAACCTTATGCCTCCTCTCTTGCGGCATGGCACTCTGCATACGCAATATATATATATATATATATATAATTCAACGCCGTTAGGATATTTTCGTAATTGAAACAATAACATAAATAATTTATGAAAAAAGAAAAGAAAGAAAAAGTCAAGCCTAAGCATATAACCGGGGGCGTGCTTTTAGCATGTAAACACAAACATGGAAGTCTGAGATTTTTTGGGACTCTGATTTTTGGGTTTTGGTGCTTGACGAAATTGTGCTGTTTTCATTTTCCTAGTCAGAAAGTACAGAAAAACAGAACTGCTATAAGGTATGGCTATCCACCCTCTCAGGTCTAGTTTTTATTTTATTTTTATTTTTTTCTAGATTGTAAGCACAAAAATACTTCAAGGGTGATTTGGGACTTTTAGCCCTAAAGTGAGGCAATAGGAGGAAAAACAAACCGCCGAAAGTGACCATAAACAGTCCCGTGGCTAAAATAAGTAAAAGGACACAACACCAGTTGTTGAGGTCTAACTAACCCAACAAGATTTATTAATAAAATCCGCCTGTGCCTAAATCTGTTTGGTGACTTCAGTTAAAACACTACCGCCATTTTTGGATCAGAATAAGACTTTAATGAAAGATAGAAACAGGCTGAGGCAAGCGATAAAGACCCACTAAAAAAATGGTGAGTTACGCACATATCATGGATGTTCTTTTACCAACATTTTGAATATACTCTTTTTTTTTTTTTTTGAAAAAAAGTATTTTGAATATGTTTTCATTGCTTTAGAAGCTCTTGTTTTGGTGGAATAAAGGTTTATTGCGCCAAATTACCCTACGAAACTATCACATTATCTCATCTTGGCTTTTGACAATTAATCTTGCTAGTACCTTTTTAACTATTGACCTAATTACAACTAAACTAAATGGTAAAATCAATATGTATTTACAGATGCCAATTAATCCAAATTCTAATGTTTATCAAAATAAAAAATCTAAACTCTAGGTTATGTAAAGTTAGTCAGGCAAGTTTTCAAAGAAAAGAATAAGGTTTTCAAAATGCTAACTGAAATAGTTTACGTCCATAGCCCAAATAAAAACAGGGCAAAAACAGAGCAAAACAGAGAGTTAAAATGGCACTGACCGGCGGTAGGCAACAGGGACGATACCAGCACGATACTCAGCAATCTTAAGGAACATGGGCATGGCAAGGTCGAAGTGGGGCCGAGGAGGGTTGCACCAGCCTCCATTGTCATTAGGAAGGGCATAATTTGGTGGGCAGAAGTTGGTTGCAGTAACGAGAATAGATGGGCTGCCTGAGTGGCACCATGTTGGCTCATCTGCGCACTTTATTTCAAAGCAAGCACCACAACTTAACCCGTTGTTGAACAGTGCCGTGCTCAGTGCTGCAGTGCTCACTCCATACCCTTGGCTGTATAGATTTCCATATCCACAAGCTCCTCCTGTACACAAATACAAATTAATTCATGTAGTTAATTAACATATACTTGCTAGTAGCTAAAATTGTACGTGTACTTGGCTTCATTTTTAGGCCAATGTCGCACATTATGATATTTGAAGTCCAAAACACCGTTAAAAAGTAAGATACAGAAAACATACCCATGGTGCCAGAGGCATCAGCACCGCCATAGAAGGTAGCATGAGCAGTTTGCCAAGCACCCCCAGAGTAAACACCAGGAATTCTACCTTCGCCCATCCACATCAATGACATTATTATTAGTGAACTAGTTGCAATGCAAACCAAACCACTCGTTGCCATTTTCTCTACTCACTACTCTGAACCAACACCCTTCTACTTTTAGTCAGAAAGACAGAGAGAGAGAGAGAGAGAGAGAGAGAGAGAGAGAGAGAGTTAATGGGGGTGTGAAGGGCTAAGGGTATGGGAGCTCGACTACTTAAAGAGGAGGCAAGGTAGGTTAGAAGGGCATCGTTGGAATTTTCAAACAAACCCATCATTCAAGTCAATCTGCTTCTTCATGTGTGAACCAAAAAAAAAAAAACAAACAACTCCTACTCCCACTCTCTTTATGGCACGTATTTAATACTATCCAGTTATGTTAAACCTTATACGGATAAGTGTAGAGTCTTCCTTACGTTAAGAAGCCTATCTCCAAATTGATTGGAGTCCTAATAGAAAGTCAGGAAAAAAACTACTAGCGATTTCTTTTTATTTACTGGTAGAAAATCAGGAAAAAAAGAATAATAAAATAAAAAGGGTTTGCTAGCTTCGAGCATTGTTTTTATATACCCTGTGATCTAATGACCATTGGATTTATGGGATAATTTAACTATTTTATTCAAATTCAATAACAATACATAATATACATATGTGAATTGTGATGGAGTGGAACGAAAAGGAAAGGAATATTCATATTCATAATGGTCCTACTATTTTTGCATGACGAGACATAAATGCCCTGGATGGCTACTGTTTCGAATGCTGAGTTGACATGACATCACCGAAGAAACCAAAAGGATAGGACGTGGAAAAATAGCACTTTATTATTAGCTTAAAAAGGGTACAAATTCAGTACATTATAGAAAAGCAAATCAAAGTAAACATAGACGTAGTGAAATGGGGTAAACATGGAATGGCATTGCATCAAGCAGAAGTTGAGGCGTGATCAGCGGTCGTGATTTTTCAGTGGAGGCCCATAAAAAGATTTTATGGGGTCGGAGATGGATCCAATCAAAACACCATTAAAAATTGAAAAGCTCGAACCCAACTGCAAGCCACTGACCATCACTAATCAGAGAGAGAGAGAGAGAGAGAGAGAGAGAGAGAGAGCATCCAACGTGGGAGATGGACCCACTTAATTCCCGTAATTACCGCTCCATATACCCCGGTGAGCTTTAACTGTATAAGTGCGGTACATAGAAGCACAATCTCGAGCCACACGCGCGCACAGACAACCACTACTCTCCACGCCTACCTTTTTTTGTTTTTTTCAAGTTTTTCCTTAAAAGAAATGTACTACTGCTAATCTGCTAGCAATTAGCGTTATAATTTTCTCCTTTTGCTGCCTAAATAAATGCATGTTCTTGGTTTAAGTTGGGTCATTTCATTAACTTTAAACTCATTTTACGTGCACGATGAAGTACCTTTAATTATCAGTTGTCGAAACTATGTCTGATTATCTGAAATTTGGCGGAAAGGAAGAAAAAATTAGGTATAATTCAAGTTGACTTAATGGACATCAGCCAACTAGGAATTTTACGACTTTGTAGCTTAAGGTTTTTAGAATCCCATATGATAATGTTTCTTTCAGCCATTACATTTGGATAATCGGACTTTTCTTTTCTATCATCTCTTCTCTTGCCGCGTGTTAAGCTGAATGAGTTTTGTTTTCTTTTTTTATCTATGCATGGGTGGGAGATGCATGATTTACCATGTCATGGAGAATTATAATTTAATCCTTCATCTTTAATTTTTTTGTTACTTTAATCCTTCAACTCTGGGTTTTGCCACAGCTTAGTTAGAGACAATTTTCAATTAGATCATATATAATTGTTTTATATATTTAATTAATATCTCGATCCGCTATAGATCAAACTTCTTAGCATTGCAAATGAAAAAAAAATAATTTGATAAAACCTAGAGTGGATGGGATTCGACTATATTGTGCTACATTATAATTGTTGAGCAAAATTTTGTTTAGCTTCTAAACTCTATTGTTTTTAGTTTTAAAATATAAGGCAATAACAATCATTTATAAACTATCCAAATAATCTCATAATACTAATGTGTTTTTTGGGATTTCAATTAGTTTTCATGGCTATGCACTGTTAAAATTACCAATTACATATCAAAATTTTAATATTGTGTGATTTATATAAATCACTTTGCATGTCTACAATGCTTAAATTATTTATTATTTATTATTAATTATTAGCATTACTTTATCAAAATATATATGGTTGTGTTAAGTTGATAAATAAAATTATGATATAAGTGGAGTATGAGTGAAAATGACTTGTTTTGTTGGTGGCATGTGATCAATAAAATTAGGAGAACTTATTATTTTAATTTAAATTAATAAATTTTTGCAATCAAATATGTGTGAAAATGAATATATGTCAAAGTAGTATTATTCCACACAAGAATGCACGATGCAAACATTTTTTTTTTACCTAATTTTATAAATTTATAATCATATTTAATTTTCTATTTAGCTAATGGTTAGATTTATAAGCTATTTGGTATTGTTTTTGTCCTTCATTTTTTAAAGCAAATTTGAAAAAAAAAAAAAAAAAAACTTGTTTGTTTTTGTTTTATATTTTTAAAAATATAAAAATTCAACAACCAAATATGAAAAATTTTCACAACAAAGCAAATCGGTTTTCAAAAATTGTGTCGGTGATTGTCAGTCTTTCTTTTCTCAATAGAAAAATTGAAAAGAAAACAAATTTTTAATTCCAAAATTTGAAAATGATAACCCGCTAATGATAGCAAACGATTCTTTAACAAATTGCATTCTAACCATTCTTGCATCTTTTATTTTTCATTTAGTTTTTTATAGTTTAATTGTGGGGGAAAAAAGGATTGTTTTTATTTCGTTTGTGACGGATTTAAACAAAGGGTCTAATCTAATAGCAAGATCAAAGATAAAGGGACTCAATTCATCAAACGAGAAGTATAGGGATTCAATCAATAAAATTAACTAAGTACAGGGACAACTTGGGGTGTAATGGACCACTCCCGTCTGCTGATAAAGGGTGTCTCTTGAGTCCTGTCACCTCCCTCAGTACAGAACCCCATGTTCTTACACACACCAAAATTCAAAAAAAAGTGCCGGGCATGGACCAATTGTAGCAATCCACGTAAGAGGGGCACGTACGGTTAGACCAACACGGACCGGCCTGACATTGGATTCATGATTGCCTGGGATTACAGCTTGCTTGTTTCGCAACCATAGCCCATGTGACTTCCAATCATTTTCACTTGGTTCATGATCTTGTTCTCCCCTAGTCAACACGTAAACAAAAGAAAGAAGATTTTGCCCCCATTTAATTGACTAGTATCTTAATTAAGTCAAGTTAATTAATAAGCTCAAAAAAGAAAAAAAAATTAATAGTTCAAAACTAGAAGAGGATAACCAATTGCGACTTTAAGTTTAATCTTGATATCAATAACTTCAACTACATTTGACTTAATCAAATCCTACAAAATTAGTTGATTTAAATAGCGTAATGTTTAACTAGATAAAAGATGTGTTTAGCCACGCAATGACTTAAAAGTGGCTGGTAGAATCCTAAAATTATTATAATAATATTTTTATTTTATTTTTATTTTTGCTATGGAACGAACATCCTCTAGTATTCATTTTTCTCGCGTTTAGTTACATTCATCAAAGTTAAATGAATGGAACTTTATTGAATTGACATTTATTGTAACATATGTTGAAAATAATAATAATTTAGTAATTTATTATTTTTCTTCATATAATAATTTAGATTTTTTTAATTCAAAATTAACCATATATAAAATTGGAAACATCATGAAAAGATTCAAATCTATAAATTTGTATCAAGTCCTTGCTAGCTCTGGATATATACAGATCTTGGACGTACCCAATGAAATTAGCTAATAATCATTTTAACCACCTGCATCATAACAGTACGTAATTAATATAATGGTGTTTCTTCATTCAAGTAAGTTTTTTAGTTTCAGCGTATATACTACTTGTTTAATTGTATGCTTCAACCAAACTCGATTGAGCTTGTCTTTTGTTTTATCTATCTGTGTCTTATACTTAATGTCGTGTAATGCTGTTAGGCAAACAGCTTTGATTTAACAATAAAAGCATTTGGTTTGTTGCTGAGGTGGATCATTTTGTCTTAATTAGATTATATGACATGAAATATAAAAGAGAATCTCTTTGGAATGTTGCTATTTGATTGTTATTAGTTGAGAGCATTTTTGGATACCATGCTTTCGAATACTTTTATCATTGTTTTTTTTTCTTTTTTTTGTTTGATTTATTTGCATTTAAGTGCCTTTTATTTTATTTTATTTTTGTTTAACTCTGTAATTCACTGTACTTTTGCAATTTTAGATAATCAACTATTGATTTCAAAATCTATAATTTGAATTTTATAAACAAGACACATCATGTATCAATAACTTGGCTTTTTAATTTTCCTCCAATATATACAAAGTTTTCTAAATATTTTCAATTCCAAATGTTTTGAAAAGCATGTCGATTTAGGATTTCTAATAATAAGTGTGGGATTGCCAATTTGGGATTCATAAAATTAACTGGCTTCATTAAAACTAAAAGGGGTTAAGTTATAATAATCAACTCCAATAAAATATAAGCAAACACATAATTGGTTGTTTCTGTGCCCAGCCCTCCATTCAAGTGGATTAATTAAGAAATTTAATTAGAACAACTAACAAAAAAATAATTGACAAATAGATCACGAAATGGGACAGCGACCTACGGGCTTGTTATTGTGGTCCCAATTAAGTTTGATCATTGACGAGAATGTTGATATCATGTAATTAGGTAAAAAAAATTATAAAAAAGGGGTTAATTTCTTGTGGTACGTACCAACTTTGATGTCGACCTGTCTTATACGTGATTAAACATGCAACGTTAATTTGTACCTAAATGTTTGAATTCCAGTCTATAGCTTAATTAACACATAAATTAAAGTCTTGAAATAATATTAATGATACCACGTGGATGGGTTAGTAGTCACTAACCTCGTCCAATGCAGAAAAGTATGTTCAAATAAAGTCACCTGGAGTCTAAA